AGGTGGCATCATGAGGCAGGAGCGGCTCCCTCTCATCACCATCCTCTCTCCTCCCTCCTTCCTCTCTCTGTGTGCAAGCTCATGTTTTGTCAGGAGAGTCTACAGGACATGCGCCGGCTGCTGCTGCTTGGTGGTAGCTGGCTTCTTTTCTGAGGAGAAAAAAAAAGAGAAAGAAACCCCGCCCTCGTCTCTACTGTACCATCTCCTCCTCCTCCTTCCTCATCCTCTTCATCCCTCGGCGGCGATGTCTCGACCCCACAGAGCTCTTTGTATCCGCCCCCCTTCCAACATCCACCATCACTGACTCTTGTTTTATCCGCCAGTCGCTATAAATAATCCCATTCTTGGAGAGATCAGAATATGAGGAAAGAGGTTCAGAGGAAGAATCGTACATCTGTTGGTGACATCACGTATAAGTGTTTAGACGTGGCTGGAGGTGTCTTTATGCCTAAATGACTCAAATATGAGCACCTCTCTTTGTATTTTTATATTGAGAAAATTATTGTACTGAGCAATTGTCTGATTAATATTGAATCATATCTGATGTCATCAGTCAAAATGTAAGGTTTGTGCAAATTCTGGTATTTTTAAAGCTAAAATTGAATAAAACAACTACTATGAAATAGGTAATACATATGTTAGAACAAGGTAAAGTATTTCTAGTGACAACAAATAGTGCTTTCTGTATCTTCTTGGTCTACACGTGGTACATCGTGTTCAGCAGATAGAAAATTACATTAAAACAACAAAACATTTGTACAAAAACGCTTCACTTTATCATAAGCTGTAGGGTTGTGCCTGTCTCTGCTGCATTTTTGGTTAAAACATGATTATTCTTCTTTCAGTAAAGTCACCAGCAGTGGTTTGCAGTAGCCAGAAATCTTACTCAAGTCAGCGCAGCGAAGCAGTCAGTGTATGCTTCCTGACACAAGTTGGTGAAAAACAGGATCAACATGGGGCTACCTGTAGAAAAGTCTGATGGCACAAATATTGAGTTATTTGCAAGTGAAATGACAAGAAAAATGTTTGGAAGAGTCTATGTGAAGCTTTTAAACCTGAGAACAGTTCCCCAACTATCAAGCATGGTGGTGGTGGCGTCATGCTTAGGGTCTGCTTAGCTGACAGTTGTACTGATGAATCACAAAAAGTGAAGAATAATAAAAAAGTAATTTTCTTTGACTTCACCTTAAATCAAAAACCAAATGTTTGAAAGCTGAAACCGGTTACCAGCTGTTATAAGACGAGCGGTCACATGTCCTGACAATTGGTAAACTGTTGACCCCCGGATTTGGCAGGGGGTGCATCTCGATGCGGCTCGGTCAAGAAGCTTAACGTTGGCCAGCAGCTCTGGCCAACGGCGACAGCAAGAAGCCAGGATTAGGTTTGTGTTTTCCATTTTTCTGGCAATGCCACTTGTTCCGCATCAGCAGATGGCCCCATGGCGTCACGCTGACAAACTCCCCTCCACCCCGGTTGGCATGAGGAGGGGGACGCCAGAGACCGCCCTGACAAAAAGCAGCAGGGGCATGACTACATACATAACTCAAAAGCTGCCATCACTGCTAAATGACATCATAACTGAAAACCTGCAAGGCTGAAGTATGTGATTATCTCTGCAAGCGAACAAGAAAAACTCTAGTTCTTTTCATTTCTCTAGAAGCAGTCTCTTTTCTCTTGGCTTGGTCCACAACTCCTCATTCGGTGTGAAAGGGGCCGAGTCGTTATTCAGCCATTTATCTTCGAGGCCTCTGCTGGGAAACCAAGCTGTGAGCTGCTGGCCGTATGTAATTGTGCATTGTTCAGCAAAAGGAACAAGGATTTATTGAACTCTGAATATCCCCCTATTAAAAATGTAGGAGGAAAATCATTCGTGTTTGGCGTTTGGAGTTTCAGATTTCCTCCATTCCGGCTCCACATGAAATAAAGACGAGTTAGTTTGGACTTTAGGAACCATTTCTAGGAACAAGGACAGTCTACTAGCTCCATGCTAAAGCCATTACTCATGTTTAAATGTGTGCAACACATTATTCACGTTACAAATTTTATGGCAGGTCATGATGTTCCTTAACATGCCGGAGACGACACTTAACTGCCCCATAAAGAGCCACATAAACCAGTGAGCTCTCTGCCCGACTGAATAATTAATACTTTGCATTGATTGGCAGCATATCTTTCAGCACAAAATGACTACGGTAAACGACTACCTAAGATAATGATCATGCACACGCTCGCGTCAGGTAGATTAAAGCTGTAATTGGATAATACTTAAGTCATTCTGCAGCAGATTGTGGTTTCTAGATTGGGTCTCAGTGCCACTTTTGTCTCACATTACTGTGTCAGCAGCAGCACTGGAGTCAGAGTCTGTTCAGTTCGGCTCCCAGGTGGGATGAGCCTCAGCATGTGAGATCCAGCGAAGCCCCTTTGCCCCCCTTCACAGATTTTAATTAGGTCTTACTCACTGACCTAGTAAAGAAGAAAGACCACAACGCTCCACATGGCAGGAAAATGAGAGGCAAATGAAGCAGATCAGGAAAAATGCAAACCAGTTTTCGTCTCAAGGTTTAAAAATAGAAAAATAGTCGGGTCACCGGGCTTCATGCAGCCGTTTTAAAATCTAGAGAAGTCAAAGTTTATCCTGTTTACTCTTTGCAGTATCATCAGATTTAGATGCTGAGCTCTTAATTCATACAGGATGCTTAATAATGCTTTTTTTTTTAATAAGTTTTACTCATGAAATATCCTACTTTCAGCAACAGAACAGGTTGATCCCATCGACTCGTATGTTTTAGTTTTGTTTCCTTTCCCTAAATGTCACCGAGCTCCGTCTCTCTTTACAAAGTGCATTAGCTTTGTGAGTGGAGACAGATCTGTGTGCTGGCTGTAGAAAAATGGATACATTTCTACTTTGTTTTGCTATTTATGCAATTTCAGAATTAACACTGGCTATTCAAAAAAAGGCGACATGATGATTGCCATTTCACATTCTTTAAATATTTTATGCCCATTTCCTAACCTAAAAAAAATTATTTTATGTTTTTTTTTTTCAAAGTTTTGCTTAATTTGCCTCATCATAGGGAAAAAACAAACAAAAAACAACAACATTCAAAGCATGTGACCAACAACATTTCAGTGTGCAGCATTTGTCTTTAGGAAAGCTTCTTTATGCATTCAGGTGTGGGCAATCCTGGTCCTCGAGGGCAGGTGTCCTGCAAATCTTAGACGTCTTCCTGGTTCAACACACTTGAATCCAACAGCTGAATCACCTTCTAAGTGCAGTCAGGTTCTCCAGTCCTGCTAACGACCTCATTATTTGACTCAGGTGTGCTGAAGTAGAGACACATCTAAAAGTTGCAGGAAACCGGCCCTCGAGGCCTGGAGTTGCCCACCCCTGATGAGCTGAGATTAACAGGGTTTTTTTTGTTTTTTTTTTGTTAAAATGTTCCTCCTATGTGGATCCCCAAGTTTCCAAAGCATTTATTTTATCTGTTTGACCTCTGAGCATTTTACAGGGAAAGTCCTTGTTATTTTTGTGTTGGTGGATGTTAGGATAAAGCAAAGCTGACTTTATGAAATAAACTTAGAAAATGAGGATCAGCAAAATCATCAGGGCTGTTTTTTCCCCCCTTCTTTTCCCTTTTCGTTGCATACAGATAGCTTGAATAGGAGCACTATGTACCTGGACTGAGCTGGTATGTGAAGAGCTCCTGAGCTTTTGTTACGGCAAACAAAAAGGTAGATTTGGTTGCACATCTTTGTGCTTTGAATGGTTACACCCTACAAGAGGAATCAAGACAAATACAGAGCTTTGCAAAAGTATTCACACCCACTGAGCTCCTCCTAGCTGGAGATAGGCACCAGCAACCCTCCCATCCCCACTAGGGACAAGAAAATGGATGGATAGTCACTTGTAGTTGTTTAGTTTAAATCAAACACATTTGATCTACATTTTAGTCAGCAAAATATAGTTGGCCTTTTGGCAGGTTGTGGAGGATTCCTAATAATTTCTTTACACATATCTGAAATATTTACCCAGGACTGGAACTAAAAGACAGAGTTTTAACGTTCTTGTGTTGTTTTCTTAGATTAGCTGCTTCTTCATTTTCCTTTTTTTACAGTTTCAAAAACCATAATTATGATGTTTGCTGTTTCACAACTCATCTTTCCAAATGACAAAAAGGGGGGGAAAAAAATTCTGTTCAGTTTCTAAAAAAAAAGTAACATAATCTTAATATACTCATATGAGATTCTATTTGGTTTTTACTGGTTGATGAAAACTGTTACAAAAATTTTGGTTGATAAAATTAACACTGGTCTTGTCAACAGATTCTCCCACCTCCAGAGTTGCCATGGTGATCATGGCTGCTTCTCACACCTAAGGACAATTTAGACAGATCATTTAACCTGACAGTCATGTTTTTGGACTGTGGGAGGAAACCAGAGTACCTGGAGAAAACCCACGCATGTACAGGGAGAACATGCAAACTCCATGCAGAATGACCAGGGCTGGGAATTGAACCCAGAACCTTGTTGCTGCAAGGCAACAGCTCTACCAACTGCACCACTGTGCAGCCCTACAAGTGACTATTGTAACTTAAACTAAACTATTATATCAAATGCTACTACATTAAAATTTGAAGCCAAAAATCAAACATGGGGAAAAGATAACTAAGGTAATAATTTTGATCTCCACACATTTTGGTATTTATGGGAGAGAGACATTAAAGAAGTAATTGTTTAAAAAAAAAAAAAAAGCCAGAAATGTCAAATGGTGTGTTTGCCATAAACCATGCAGAGGAAGGTGCTGCGGTTACACCATCCTCATAGTGAAACACAGCAGTGGTGGCATCATGAACCTGGGATCATTCTGAAATCAATTTATATCTGTCCATCCATTTTGGTCCATCACTAAATATTCCGATAAAACTCTGAGGTTTGCGGTCGCATCACGAGGGTTTTACTTTTCCAAGGCACCCTTTGATAACACAAAATGCACACAAATGTCAAAGTTAGTACACGTTTTATTTACCATAAATACAATTTCCGTGCCAAGCGAGAATCAGCATTAGTCCAAACTCGAAAAGCTGCACTTTAAGAACGCGTCACACACCGACACCTGCAGGTCCAGTTCTTCTGATGTAAAGACTTTCTGGTCACTTCCCCCCAGCAGAAGTCACATCTTTATAGACATTTACATCTATCTACACCAACATTTCTATAAAGCATAGAAAAAATAAACTCCATTATATGTTTTTTTTTCTTTTTTTTTGTTACACGATTTATCGTTACAATATGTATAGCAGTGCTTCGTAAAATGGCATGTGGTGTTTTGGCTGCATCTCTTGGACAATCTTTTCACAGCTTTTGGAAGCACAAAGCAGTGCTGTCTTTATTTCATGCTGCTGGGACTGAGGGCCTCGTCTGCTGTGTAACAGGAGCCAAAATAATCATTCGCCACTCAGTGTCCTGTCAAAATAAATCCTAACATATTTCTGGACGATACCAAACAGAGAGTAGCCTACTTATATCCGACAGTCACGCATGTAAACAACACATATCGTCCCGTAGAATCTAAACAAATATCCAGGTTACACTTCCCTCTTCCTTTGTAGGTTAACTTGATATTCACTGCCATTTTTCGCAGAAGGATCCAAGCAGAAATCTAAATTAGGCAATAAGAGAAGCGAACGAAAGCAAAGCATTCAGAGAGCAGCGACGGAAAACAATCCATTAGGCACAATGAGGAGGCAAGCTGGAGAAAGTGGCTTCACCATGTGACTCCATCTATGTACACAGACAAATAAAAGCCAAACTGGATCATTTTGGTAGGTAACCAAGAAAGCAAACAGATTACTTAGTGCTCCAGTCAGCTTTGTATTCAACTAAAGAGAACAGGCTTGTAGCATATAGGTAAAGAAGACACACTGTTAGAGAGAGAGGGTTAAAATAGAAAAAAACCCACGCATTTCAGCAACATTTTTAAAAATGCCAAAGCGTTTTGTGGTAATGGTTTCTACGCATTATGTATACATAATAAGAAAACGGTAGCATTATTTGAGAAAGAGAAATTGCTTCAGAGCAGTGCAAAATAAACAATAATGCTGCACATTAGTTAGGAATCCTATTGTTTTCACACCAGAGCCGAGGATTCTGTCTGGACTCAAAAGAGCCGAATCCAGCCTCTGACAGCTTACTTTTAATAATAGATGGCTCACGTTATTTATTCATTCAGCTCTCCTCACATCTTCTCCCCTTTTATTTTTTTTTCCCTGATAGCAGAGCCAGCCTCAGTGTGTCTTCCTAAATGCAGTCACAGGCGCGTCTGCACACGGAGAAGAGCTGCAGGTAAACAGGCAGCAGACGGGCAGCTGTGTTTCTGACACGCTTTCAAAGCATCTCGTCACGTGTCAACTCGGGGGGAGCAGGTGTTACCTCACACTGTGGCCTCATTAAAAAAAAAAAAGGTGTCGCTCCAGAGCAGCGATGTGTGAAAGCTGGAAATGTTTTTCCTTGCTGCAAGACAGACGACTGATGTAAAGGCAAAAAGGTGGAAAGCCTCTCTTTGCCAGGCCGTGAACGCCATTTTGGACCTCAGCTCAAACACCTGCATAGACATCTGAATGAACTGAAAGTAAAGCCAGAAGTTCTTCTTACAGACAGTCGGTTCTGATGGCGGTCAACAGCTAGGAAGGGATCGTGTGAAGTCGTTTCTGCTTCCTGACATGTGGAGGTGCAGTCGTGGCCATTGTTCTTTTATTTCATCCTGCATCCTTTCTGGAGTCACGAACAAACAGTTCAAAGAACCGTTTTCCTCTGGTTGTGATGCCATTGTCCAATCTCCCCGTCGATTTCCAGCTGGATGCGACCTCACAGGGGAGGAGGAAGCAGGTGAATGAGTTCAGGTCAGAGGTCATGGGGAGCCTCCCTGACACACTGCTGCGGAGATTTGGTTTTAATTCAGGAGGTGACATTTACAGCGCTGGACAAAAGTATTCATACTCCTTAATTCTGTTTTTTTTTTTTTTTTCCATTTCCAATTTTTGCAATACAACCAAACGTTTAATGGAGTGGAAGGAAAATTACACGGTTTTCAAAATTATTCTTTTACAAATCTGAATTATGACACCTCTAAATAAAATATACTGCTACCAATCACCTTCAAAAGTAACTAAATAAAAAAATAAAAAATAAAAAATCACTGACAGGAGACTGTGGCAGCAACCAAGAGTCCCAGGGTGACTCTGGAGGAGCTGCAGGGACCCACTGCTCAGGTGGAACAATCTGTATGAGCTTTTCCTCCACACGTATGTGATCCTCACAGCAGAAGCCATGTTCGGAGTCTGACACAGAGCAAACATGAGGAAGAAAAGGCTCTGGTCGGATGAGACCAAAACTGAACTGAACTCACAAGGAAAAGGCGACATGTGATGGAAACCCAAACCTAAAGCCCTAACACTTCACTAAGGATGATAAAACTAGTCAGGGTTGATGGAAGCCTCTTACTGGCAGCAAAACCCTTTACACTTGGGGAGAGGAGGAGGAAAGCCGACACACAGCGAGAGGTACAATTAAATGTGTTAGAACAAAGAGCTTTGATCTGTTAAAATGGCCCAGTCAAAGTCCAGAATTGCATCCAATGGAGAATCCAATGTTTGTAGTTGCTCTTCATCAAATATAAGGGAGATTAACTCATTCTTCAAAGAGGAACTTTGAAAACAGAACATAGAGAAATGCTCTGTACTTTAGATTTTTGAAAAAATATTGAAAACATTGTACAATTTTCCTTCCATTGTATAATTACGAGCCACGCAGGGCGTGGTCTGTCAAATAAAATCCCTAAAAAAGGTTTCAAGTGAATCCTATTCCATAATCTTCTTAAAATACACAACTAATCAGCAGCTGAGGTACATTTAGCCCCATTTCAAATGTCACCCGAGCAGTTCCATTTTTATTTTAATCTCCTGATCGTTGAAAATTAGAGCTTGCAGTGGTGAAACCAGAGAACGTTGCGGCGAGAAGCTGAAGGGAGTAAACCTGTAGGGAGGGTATCAGATTTCAAACTGAGGAGCCAGAGGTCATGACCCACTAAGACCTGATGCATCATGGGAGGTTCAAAACATTCAGCAGCTACGTGCGAACGGAAGCGCCAGGCAGGTTAGCAAAGCAGAGAAAAGGAAGTAAAGCAATACATCTTTGAAGAAAAGTGTCATAATTTAAAAAAAAAAAAAAAAGGCCATAAAATAAAGATGGAGGCATCTGACGTTTGTTCAAGTCTCCAGTGAATTACACTTTCTGGCACATTATTATATTGTATTTTCACAAACCGCACCGCATAACTTTATTAACAATTACTTATTTTTTTGTTTTCTTTTTTTTTTTTTTTAAAGGCAGCAAAGAGGTGTGGCATATATTGCTCAACAAATAAGTTGCTTTAGATGGACTTTAAATGAGGTCCTCAAGTGTTTAAATCCTCGCAATTCCAAACAATTCAAACTTCTTGAGCAGCCAAGTATCTGTGAGACCCGGCAGAAGTCCAGCCGCCTTCGGCCGCTGACCGACAGCAGACGGCGTCCGCTCCAGAGTTAGCGCTGTAAATCGTCCTGCTTTCACTGCCGTCCGACGCAGCTGCCGGCGTTGTCCCTCCACGTCTGCTGCAGCTGCTGGAGGTGCTGAAAGGCTCTCTGGGTGATGTTAAGAGCTGGGTGGACCTTCCTTAGGTCAGGCTCTCCAATCAGAGACAGGCCACACAGCCCCAAGTAGGCATGAAGAGGGTCTGGAGAGACGAAACCACGGACAAAAAGGGAGAAACCGGGTCAGAGCTGACAGCGGGAGTCCCTGCAGAAGCACCTGAACGTGACAGAGCTGGTACTTAGAATGGATGTGTACTGACTGATTCAATCTATAAACTCATTGGACCCTTCAGCTGTCCCAAGGATTGTAAGTTTGTCGTAATGAACCTTTAAGGACACGTGAATAATGCACGCTGCTTCTCCCCTAGGAGCGTCTCTCTCCCTCGGGACGAGGATAAAAGCTCCACAGGCCACTAAATGGAGCAGTAATTGAATTACAATGAAACGACAGATGATTGGACAGAGATGTTAGAATCAATCACAGAACTATTAGCTTCACCCATCAGGACTCGGACTCAAAGTTACACCAATGAGAACGTGGTTTCAAAAGGCCTCACTCAATATTACAGCGACTTTCAATCCAAGCTTAACATTGAAATGCTTTTTAGAGACATGCAGTGAGCCAGCCACATCCTGCAGTAAACGACTGACACAGGAGAAGCAAGTAATGTGAAACAATCAAGTGGCTGCAGAGTGCTTGGAGAGGATGAAGGCCGGCTTGCGCCACCCTCCACTTCACACCTACTTGCAAACTTGCAGCCTAAAACTTGAGTTTAACATCCTCAGCAGCCACAGGCATAACAGCAAAGGGGGCAACTTCAACACGGATGTGATGGAGTCCTGGCCTGTAAGTGTCTGGCTTTCATTAATCTGACTTTGTTTTTTTAAAAGCCAGTCGAGTCTATGAATAGCATCAGCTGTCAAATAGGCTTTTAGCCAAACTTTGGTGTTGCTTTAACAAACCAATTACTTAAGACTAAATTGAAGTCATCACTGCCAACAATCATATATAAACACCAAGCTTTAAAAAACTGGATATTAATGAGTTGTGTCAGTAAAAGGATGTTTAGTCTGTTTTGATGCTCCTCTCCTCCGTGGCACCTTTGCAGCCAGCCACACAAGAGCAAAAAGCAAAATATTTATCCACCGTCTCACCTCTGACTATTTGTTATTTTCCTTCAGATATAACGACGTATCAGACAGGTACCATCTTGTTCAAAAATCTACTTTGTTGTTAAAACTCTCCAGCTTCTACACTTGTCTTTTATGCTTTTATATCTTAACACATTGCAAATAATACATTTTCAACTTATCCATCAATCCTGACGAGACCTGGTCACAGTTTCTTGTCAGTAACTTAAAAACAAAAACGTTCAATGAGGAAAATAAGTTTTGGAAAGGCAAAACAAACAAAAGTATGTCTTGATAAATTAATTTAGCTTGAGGAGTAAAAGCTAGACATTCAAATATTACGTGAATTTTCTTTGTTCCACACTCCTTGTCTTCAAGATGCTACAGAAACTTTAGATGCAAGGCAAATCAAGAAACAAAAGAAGAAGTCTGGCTGCTTTCTGTGACGTCTTGGACGACTGAGAGTCTACACCAGTCTCTCCGATTGCAATTTAAGAGCTTTAAATAAAACCTTCTGCTATGTTTTGCTTTCTAGGCTCTTATTCTACATTTTAACACAGAATAAAGAATCTTCTAGCAACAAAACACACGCAAAAAAAACAATCTGGAATCATTTTAATGCAGGTCTGCATGTATTGTCCCACATCCAAGCAATCAACCCAGTTCCCACTGTAAAGGAAAGATTTGTTCGCTATTGTTTCCTTCTCCCATAAAACTCTTTTATTCATTTACATTCACAAGCCTCAGTCCTGTCTGTCCCTCCTGAACGCCGTCCTCCTATCTGTCTGTCTGTGGTAACACGAGGAGCTCCGTCTGCCGTTTCCTCAGGCTACCTTTAAACAATCGCCTCATCAATTACCCAGCATGAGGGCAGGCAAGAACACGACTGCTGAAGTCTAGGGTTACAGGAGATTCTTTTCCCACTGATCTGAAGTAAAACTGGCCACCACAGCTCCACCCTGTTTCACTGCACCTGTGGAAGATGAGGCGCAAACTGCTCTGCTCAAAGAGAGGAAAATAAATGAACTGAAACTGCTTAGATCCACAACGGTTTTGTCCCTAACGTGAGATCTTTGAAGCTACAGGTGAATGACTAGGAAGAGCTACACAGTCATTAAACACGCCATTCAGCGCCTGTTTTGCTCCTGTGGTTGTTACTGGACTATAAAAACACCGGGCATTTGTGTCTTATGGATGCAACAACCACAAAAAAAAAAAAAACTGCAGCCTGGTGTTTCTACTGGAGGCGGTAGAAGTCAAGTGGCATCATTTACCTGGATGGCTGTCGGGCCACTTGGCGAAGCCGCCGACCAAACGATCCTGCGTGGACAGAATGAAGCTCCTGTTTTTCTCAAAGTGTGTGAACTGGAACACATCCAGGAGCTGGAGAAAAATACAAAAACCATCAAATGAAAACATTTTAAGAGCTACAGATGTACCAATTAGGCTTTTCTTGACTGATACCGATTTCCAGAATCTTTCATATTTTTGTCAGACATCTTTCATAGATGTAGTTTTGAATCCATCAGTAAATTAAAAGATCATCTCCAAAAGGACATCAACCATTAATGGATTTATAGACTGATGACAGCAGAAGCTTTTAGTTTCAACAAATCTCCAAAGCAGCCTTAAACCTCAAACTTGTTTCTGTAAATTTAGAGTTTAAGACACAGCAGGCACCGATTTGTTATGTGACGAAGTAGGAAGACATTTCAGTGTTTGCTACCTCCAGCGTAGCTCCCACCCAGAAGGAGTAGCACGTATCCACGGGTTTGTTGGGACGTCCGTGGAAACCGCTCTGCTGCCTCATGATGCACCAGCGCCGGATCCTGTTCAGCTCCCGCGGACTCAGAGCCTCGTCCAGTCGGCCCATCAGGCACAGCGAGGCTATGGCACAGTACGTCCAACCACCTGACACACGGGTCACCGAGTTATCACATGAAGCTGCAGTCTGGGGCGCACATCTGCTCACTATGGGTATGAATATCTCAGTCTTTAACAATTACAATAAATATACAAATGCAACTTTAAGGCGTTCTAAAAACAAGAGTTGGGAGCAGAAAATTCAAATTTAGGGATTAGTTTCTTTCATCTAAATCAAGTCAAAACTCTACACAAAACCCCCAATACATATAATCACCATTTTTTTCCCCACTTGTCATCAACAAGCTTCTGGTGTGATTCAGGCTGGAAATTTTGATCAATCCTCAAGGCAAAACTCATTTAAATCAGTTTGTTTCCTGGAACACAACCGTCTTTGAATCATTCTCTATTAATTTCCATAAAAGCTTGGGATGTTGCTTTCGGGATGGAAACTTTTTAGGTAGTTAAGATTTGCATTTCTCATCTCTTCAAAGGCCAATTTAGATGCGTGTGTGTGGGATTTATTGTGCTGTTGATGCACCCAGTGTCAAAGTTTGTTATTTATTGTTGCCACAACCTAATGCAGCGATGGCAGCATGGTACAGGATGGTACAGCATGGTACAGGATGGTACAGCATTGTACAGGGATAGTAGATTTTAACGTCCCACTTTCAATCGTCACACATACTTCTTGTCATTGTGGCGTAATAGCTCGATGATTGGCACATCAGGCTACAAAGCTGTGTCTCCAAGGGAAGTAAAACTTGCTTTACTTGGAAACGACATTCTGGCAGTTTTGAGTTCATGGAAACTTGAGTGTTACCTTGTTCCTGGGTTGGTCCCAAACCTACCAAACCAATTCAGTTTGGACCATTTTCCAGGATGTACCCAAGCCGATGACACATTCCAGTAACTTTGCTCTTGGAAATCAGCAGTTTTTCCAATAAGTGACTCCTGATAACTTTTTCCAACTTGTGCAAATCTACAGATTAGATTGAAAGTGCAGCTTTACACATTTAAATCTCTAATGATTTCTCAGACTTTTCCGATTTTCTGGTTAATGGTCGGTCAAATTTTTTTCAAACAAAAATTTTTTACTTCAACTCAACATAAGCGTTCCTACTTCTCCTGCTTTTACTACATTATACATTCTTGTTCACGATGAGTGTAAGTAAACCGTTTTTTTATTTTAATTTAATCCTGAGGTCTTAGCCTCACCCTTACATGAAAGTTACAACAATATTTAATAAGAATGTAGAAAGATGTGGAGACATGTCTTCGCAATAAACTGTACATCCACTTGAAGGATTGTTTCTACTAGAAGCTTAAGGTGAGGGGTAAACACCTGGTGGCTTCAGACAATTTGTTTTTCCAAAATCAGTTTCCTTTAGGCAGGAAGAAACATCGCCCATGGATACCAGTGTTGGGATCAGTGAAGTCGGATAAAACAACAAAAAAAAGTACTAAATATACACTAAGGACTGAAATCGGATACATAAATCCAGTCTCATGCCCAGACCCATGAGGTTCTATAATTTCATGTTTCACCTACATAACTGCACAGGCATAACATCCCAGAAAAATGTGCTTGTGCACATTCAAAGCAACGCTGGGAGGTCCTGGCACTGAACGAGCACACACACCTCAAGGGTAGACCGGTAATGGGCCTCGACTAAGCATCTCTGCTGATTTGTAATCAGCCCTTTGGAGGGTCGGTTGGCTCAGCACAGCCTCACCGAAGCCTTTAATCACAGAACTCGAATTCAAAGCGAGAAGAAAATCACATAGATCCAATAAAATGTACCCCTTGGAGCAGTTGCAATTTTTAAGAAATGTATGTTTTAAGAGCACATCAGAGCTGGCAGGGATTTCATCTTCTCTGTACAACCCAGGTCATGCAGATATGTTGCTAAGTATTGCTTTTGTTGTGTCGCGTGAAAGCTTCCGCAAAAGAAAAGCAAGGTCTAATTGGAGTGGGGGACGAATGATTGAAAACAATGTGCTGTATCTATAGCAACGGATCTGTAGCGTTAATCCTTTAAAAGCCGTTTTTTTTTTTTTTTTTCATGCCTTTTACTAGTATAAGCCCCAACATATTGGTTATAATGTGTTCAGGATAATTTGAAATGAAACCAATGAAATGAAACCAAAAATGTATTTAAATTATCAAACTTATTCAGAATTTATTTGTTGTTGCAACAGTGCGTGTCCTTTCTTCTACTTATTTAAACTTAATAGGACTTTACATTTACAACATCTAACATATTTGCACTCACCGTGAGATTCTCTCCCAGCTCCTTGGCCAAATGCATTGTCATATGACTATGGAGAAATAAATTTAGAAATGATATTTGAATCAATAATAATTGATGTGCACACAAAACAGAGATTCTGAAGAAGAACAACACAGCATACATGTTAGACTCCACACCAGAACAAAATAATATATTTTTTTAAAATTACTACAAATAAAAAAGTGATGTATTGTTCTTAAAGATGCACGGGTCAGATGCAGATTTTTGGTTTCTTTGAACTCCGACATGCTGACTGCAATTTTGATCGACTCTTATTAGGATCATTTTAACCGTAATACATTCCTAGATAAATATAGTAATTTTCTACTTGATTCAAAGACCTTGAACTTTATCTGACTAATGAATTATCCGACTTTGAAAGAGGATCAAATATTGTTGACTGTTGATTGAACTTCTATAACAATCAGCCTAAGTTTTGATCTATTTAATTAACAGGAAGAACATTCAGATGCTGCAGAATTTGATCCTCAGTTCAAAGGAGGAAAAAAATGGTAGATTTTCTTTTCTAGCCAGGCGATTGTTGCATCTCTAACCAAAATGAGAAATGTCATCAGAGAGAGAGCTGCAGAGTTTAACACTTGAGCCTGTAATACACAACATTACACCGTTTTCTTCATTTCATACCTTACTTCTCAAAAAATAAGCAAGACAAAAATCCCCAAACAAAACAAAGTAATAGATGTGGTTGGCAAAGATTCCCACACATTGCACTTGTCACAAGACGCATCACATACAGCCACTTCCTCATCCTGACATTTATTTTTGTTTGAACAAAAATTAGACAATGCCATCTCTGAGAAACTGATGACCCATTTTTAGCTTCATCTCTAGAAATATTCATTTCGCACAATCTACTTGCAATCTAGGACGCCTTTCTCTGTCTTTTATTAAATGAGGAATGTTACCGCATTGACAATGCATGAGTGTCATCTGTTTAAACCAGCTTTTTGTTAAAACAGGACACAAACAATAACAGAAGAAACGCAAACAGTCTGCGTTTATTTTGCACGCTTTCAGACAAAACACACAAGCTAAGCTAGAGGTGGTAATCGACCGGGAAGAACAAATAACTCCCAGCCTGTTCCTGCTCTGATGACACTAAAGCAAAAATGGCTACTGCATGCATCCATCTCTACATGTAAGGCAGTTTCTGCTTTACCAAAATAAACCTTAAGATCACAATTTAAATGACTTTTCTAAACTAAACTAAACTTATTTTCTGACTTTCGGTGTGTATCTATTCACAAATAGATAGGAATAAGCATGATACGAACACACCCATAAAACAACACAGACTCTGAAATGTTAAACTCGATAGACGCTGAGGTTTCCCAGGTGACGTGTGCAGCTCAGGAGAAAGAGAAAACACTGCGCTTTGATGTGTCTAACGCCCAGAAATGCAAACAAAGCGAACAAAGTTGGGAAAATTAGTTTTTATTCTTTTTAACTGATGCAGAAAAAAGCCTTCGCTGCAGCCTTACGACGATGATACGTTACTCTATCTTCTCTAATTGTTATAAATGAACTGTCTGCAAATGAATTGACACCTTGTAACAGTTCGTGGGCTGTGTTCCATTTTAATTTAACTTCTTATGTTGCAGAAAAGGAAGGTTAGTGTCCACTTTGGGAGCGTTCACATCAGAATCATCTTGTTATTTTTGTCCACTGAAGGAGGATCAGAAGCTTCACACTTTTTTTAACCTGCCAACACTCACTCACCAGACTTCCACGGATGTACTCGATGGCTTTCTGGGTGTCCATGCCTGACCAGTCATCCAGCATGTAACAGATACTAGCTGCACAGTAGATAAACCGGATGTCATTCTCACTTCCTTCTGGCACGGCATAGAAACTGAAAGCCAGACAAACAAACAAACAAAAAAAAAAAAAAAAAAAAAAAAAAAAAAAAAAACTGTCTGGGTTCTGGTTTTATGCTTTCAGATTTAGGTTCTGACTGTTTGAAAACTACTTTATTTGGTGTAAATGACGAATAATTCAGGTGTGAAACTAACAAAACCACAAATGTATGAAATAATTAGCCACAAGTTGCTTAAATGTGTTAAACAAAATGAAACCCAACCCACATAGCTCTAATTGAGAGATTGTGTGTTTTTTTTAACAGCCCGAGTATTAAGAGACGGCCTTATTCCACGTGAGTGGAATAATGGTGTGGTTTTTAAGACAACACCATGTTAATAAGCAATTCATTATGAATAAAAGGAGAGAAGGAGAGAAAGGACAAGGATACGACAGGCTGTTTCTGGGGTAACTATCTGGATCTACCTCAGGGATGCTGGAACAATTCGATTACCATAATAGAGGTTATAAACAAAGCCTCTGGACTGGAAAATCACTGCCAGGCATTTTGGGACAGACCTGCTGTAAGGAATGATGATGGGATCGATCCCAGAGCGCCAGCTCAACAACGGCCGCGCTCTGCCAGCACTGGACGTTTGGGATCATTACAGCGGCATTAAGAGCAATGTTTTTATTTAAAGTTAATGAAGTTTTAATTCAAATGCCACAATGCAATGCTGCTAATTGCTTCTCTCTTCATTACAGCGTTGAACCGCAGGGTATAAACGGTCATTTCCGTTTATTCGTCTCGCAGGACTTCTTTTGCTTTGTTTTGGTTTTCGAACAAAGTTTTTATGGCAGCGCGGTGCATCAGGCCACTGAGTTACACAAAAAGTTGTGCTGGAACTTGAGCAACGTCACGAAGTGAGGCGTAAAAACATTCAGGTCAGAACAGAGGAGAAGAAACGGTTCATTTCCTTTAGTCTACACACATCCTTAGTTGCCATGTTGGCACATTTTATCACCAGCTTATCTTCAACATAATCAGTGAGTTTCTGAGAAGAAGATCTCAGCCAAGATTTAGGAGAAAAGTCATGAAGATCTGCACGGTAAAGCATGCAGCTGCTCCAGCTACTGGAGGACAGGAGATTGTGTCTCAAAATCACATATTTAGTTGCTTTTGAACTACGGAACATCCAAATGCAAGTTGCAGTCAGACCGTGTTAAATCTGCGATCAGATGGCTGCGGGTGCTTTTGAGTCAGAGTGAAAATGCCACAGTAAATAAGGATTTAGGTGCAAAAGTGAGCGAAAGTGTGCGCCAACCTGCCGTCCTCGATCTGCAGCACTTTGAGACCGGCCAGAACGGCCTCTTTGTTCACCCGACTCAGATCGTCTCCGAGGATCAACAGGGAGCACAGGCCGGTGTAGGTCATGGCAACATGGCCGCTGTCGTACGGATGGAGCACACCTGGACCCTGAGGACAACAACCGAGAGGGAAATCAGAAATGCAGCTGATGGCTGCAGACACACACAGAATATTTTGGAGATAATATTCATCATAGACGTAGGAGAATAGACTTTCTCTGTTTAGTTTAATTTTTGAGAGAAAAAAAAAAAAGCAAATCTCCATCTCTTTTTAAAATTTCTAATAATACCCATCATGACAATGGTCACAGTTGCTTTCCAAGCTGGCACTCACAAATCTGCTACACTATAGTATGGTATTTGCATCATTCTACTGAAGCAATAAATGATCAAGAAACTGATACTGATGATAGATAAAAGTGGATTTACTGAGAGATTAAAAAAGAAGGAAAAGCCACAGTACTCAAACTGAAAAACAATTCTGGTAGTACCTTCGTGCTGTAAGGAATCCCAATATGTGCTGATCCACGAAACCCCCCACGGTTCAGGTTGGATTCTGTAACGGGTCAGACAGAAATGATGGAAATATTCAGCACAAGAGACAGGGGAAAAATAAAAATAAAAATTACATTTACGTAATTTACTGATTTATGTTTCAAAGCCCTTCTGTTCATCTTATGACCTGCAGAAAATGTTCTCAATACAATAGGAAAAGAGGAGTGCTCTGCTGCCACCTTCTGGCCATGACAGAAACACCAAGCCACATCAAAATGACGACAACATAACAGAAGCTTTAACATTTTCTATGCGGTGACTGAACAACAAATGGACCAATATATTCATGCGTCACATATCAGCCTTACAACAGCTCATCCTGCTACCCGACTTTATGCAAGACTCTGTAAAAATATGGCATCCAACCTCTGTACTGAAGGAAAAGTAAATATTTTATCTTCCACCAACATATACAGAAACCCTGATGTCGATCCCCTGCATGTATACACAGATGAATTCAGTCAAACACCTGCATTTTACTGGAGACTAACATCCCACGTAAGCAAAATGCTTTCTGTAAGTCTTAATAGTTTGCTAAATAGGGGATTATCAAACTAATGAATCATTAGTAAATCACATTTGTCTCTCAACTTGTTTTTTTCCCTCAGATCTAACGAGAAGAAGCCTGCCAGCCTCCCAACATATGGCTGCAGCAGAAATCCATCAAGCACGACTATCCCTCCATCATCTCCATTGATGTCTTCAATAATTAATGAAATGCGCATCTCAACAGATGGCATGGAGTGGCTTGTCGGAGGCAAAAATATATAAATAAATAACATATCAGTCCCAAAACAAGTCATTAAAAGCCTGAGAGTCAAACTTTTCTTTGATGAACAGCTGTAAGGATGCACTGGGTTATCTACAGACAACTGAGGGCCAATAGCTGCCTTGAAATCTGCAGAGTGGGAAAAGAAACACATGACAGACTTTAAAGTTTGATGAGTCGGAGGATGCAAAGACGACTACCTCAGTGTGAAACAAACTAACTTACAATAACTTAAAGTAGAATCAGCATTTGAAAATTTTTTTTTATAATTATCCCTTACTAAAAACTTGCACTATTTTTGGACATTAAACGCATCAACAACAGGCTGCTGTTTAATGCACTTTTTTTTTTTTACCTTCATCAAGAATCTGATAAAAGTTGGAGAGGAATTTTAAATTACAGAAATTTAATTGCTTAATTTTCTAATTCCTTCAAAAGCCTACTACCTTGATCAAATAATCAGCAGAAATTATTTTCCCCCCTTTTATTTTTTTTATAGAAAGAAAGAAAACCTTAACTGATTCAGCCAGATCACAAAGAAAATGTGAAATCAGTGTTCGGCCGATGAGGTGACAGGTGTTGAAGGGAAGACATGTCGCTCCCCAGAGGCATTCTCCAACTCACAGTGAGGAAACCCAACAGGTTCTTAAGTCAGAAGGAAACTACAGGCTGAGTCTAGATCCAGCTAGTTCTCAATGTGCTGTGTTTCTAGGCATGCCCAGAAAAACCTCCAGATGGGTTACAAAAAAGTGCCAGAATCACGTCATTTGCCTCCCATCAATGTGGAGCAGCAGAGGCTGCAGTCCAAACTGAGATGACGGAGCCAAGCAGCCCTATGTCAGAAATTCCTTACTTGGCCTCTTATTCAGTGACAACACTTTGATATTTAATCATTCTTTTATACTCGGTGATCCAAAAACTGCACCTGGAAACATCTAGGATGAAGCTCGTTTACACAGCATGCTTCTAGGATCATGTTCTTCCAGTCAAGGTCAACATCTCATCACTAAAAGTGAAGGTCAGCAAGAAAAATCAAGAGATTTTACTTTTGGTGCAGCTTCTGCAATTACCGCAGAAGATGCCCTAATCAGTCTACCCACCTCTCTCCTGCCATCACTGATTAATGAAATACAATATGGATTTTTTCCAATAGCACATTTCAATCTATCCAAATTATTATTTTTGAGGAAACGCAACAAATCTGTAGGCGTGTGAGCAAGCCTCTTTTATTCTGAAAGGCATTTTCAGCAAAGTATGGAATAGCAAAGCATCCACTTTATCAATGCTGTTACTAAGCTATGACAAAAAATAATAATACACTCTATACATTTACAGCGTTTCCCCCCAGCGTATTAAAAGCCTGGCGGGCCACCAGGCTTTACTTGTACCCCACCAGGCTAAGTGTTCCTTATTTAAGTTTTTTTTTTTTAATGTTTAACTTTTTTTTAAGACTTTATAGTTGGTGTTCAGGTGTTAATCTTCCAATCTTTCAGTAGCACATACTCATCAAGTGGTATTTTAAAATTTACGGTCAACTTTAAACATATTTTAGCTCAAAAACACAACGAGCCACTGGGTGAATGACTGCCTCAGCACCCTGTCACTGAGCTAAGCAAGTTTTCTAGCAGAAATTTACTCTTCATAAACCCACTTTGCAACTCATTTCATCTCAAGTCATTGCAATTAAATGAAAATAACATTTTCATACAGTAACATAAAAATAGATACAGCACTTACTATCCTGGGTGGGCAGAACTTGTTGTGAGTAAATCCACTCAATCATCACTTTACTATCCACCACCTCCAGGGCATCCAACACATCCAGACCAGACAGGGCAAAGAATAAAATAGATAACCTGGAATGAAAGCAGTTGATCTTACAATGTACTCGTTTATAAAGTGCCATATAATGTGTGAACCTGTTTTATAGCTTAACCTTAATAAAAAACAAAAAATATAGCTGGAAACCAAGCTGAAAATGAGGGTTAACTGAATGATAGACCTCAACATAGACATAGCTGGGAACAGGCTCGTTCCATCAGCCATAAAAGCTGCTACATTGTCATACCCAGAAAACCTGAATGGTTAAATAAAGGCTAAGATGAGTTTTCTTTAATTAACTGAGGGCTAATGAATCACAGCTAGCTCCTCTGCTGTTCAGTTCCCCAACAAACCACAGTAACCAGAGCTCCCATGAGCCCTCTGGCGAACTCACCGGGTTGTTTCCAGCGACGCGTACCGCTCAGGTAACACCTGCAAGGTCCTCTGGAAGAATCGGACATGTCGGTCTTTCAAAAAGTCTATCTGCTCAAATTCTTCAAACTGGTTCTCTTCTTCCGCCATCTTTGTTTCCGCACCTATGGGGAATCTTTTCCGGCGCGTTTGCTTTTCAAAATAAAAGCCTCTTCTAGGGGTTGAAGTTATGGGGACAGTATTTGTGATACTGACTGCTGTCGCTACCGTAATTCATTGAGTGTAGGTGGGTTAACGAATTTTTTTTGTTGTCGTTCTCTGCTTGGACTTTAATCTTGAATCTATTTCAGTGTATTTTTTTTCATGCATCAACCCAGAGCAGGTCATATTTCTGTGATAATTTGTTAGTGGGAGTGAAAAGAAAATTAAACATTAAATTCTGGGATCTAGGATGTTTATTTTTCCTAGAGCTTTTTTTTTGTCTGCCTCATTACAATTCCTTTCTTTTTTTATCTAGGTTAATCTGTTGCGTGCCTCTCATTCAACACTTTGATATTTACGTATTTATTCGTTTTATTTGTAAATATTTTATTTGTAAATACTTTACCATGACAACAAAAGTGTCAAAACAACAAAACAAATTTAAGTCAAACTCTGGAAACTGTGGAAAACTGCAGGACTCGGCTCATGGTGACATCATAGCCCTTGTCTCCAAGAGGGGATGGCTCTGGAATAAAAATAGTAAAATATGTAATTACCTAAATGTTACTTATCAGTCAAGTCTACAGGTCCAGACCTGTGAAACATCTGCAGCGTGGGTCCTTGTCCTGAAGGTTCACTGTGTTTCATCCTTTCCTCCCATCCTTTAGTGGGGCGAATCAGCCTGAAGGGGTCTCTGTTCACATGACCATCCATCTGAAGAAGAAAAACTAATTACTTCTCTGAGACTAATGACTGAAATCTTTGAAATCTAGTTTGAAATCTTCCAGACTGGTCACTGCACCTTTTCCTTCAGCTTAGCTATGATTCTCTTCTGTCGTTCCTCTTCCTCCTTTTCCCTCAGTTGCCTCTCATGAAGCTTTGCCTCCACCTTGTGAAGATCCTGCAAAGGTGCAATCAAACTATGTATTTTGCTAAGTAAAGTTGATCTCATACCTTCTTCTCGCTGAGTTCAAAGGAACCTGCTGTGTATTGCAAGTTATTTAATGAGAAAGTCTGAATTTGAGCGCACAAACTAACACCTTATCTTTTGTTTTCATGTATTTCTAAGACTTTAGAACTTGGTACCCTTTCACTGAAGCTTTTGATGACTTTCGTTGCCTCTTTGCGCTTCTCCTCCCTTTCCCTCTGTTCCTTCTCTCTTCTTCTCTTCTCCTGTTCCTCCTCTTTCTCGCGCTTCAATCGCAGACGCTCCTCAAGGGCCATCTTTAATTCCAGCTGCCGGCGGCGCTCCTCCTGATCAACAGAGATCATTTTGTTAAAAATAGGCATCTGCCCAGTAGAGCAACCTCATATTATGTGATTTTGATTACGAAAAGCAGTGCTGTAGTTAGAAAAAAATAAAAGTTTTGATGGCAAAATATGAACCTTTTCTTGTCTTCTCCTGTGAATCTCATCAGCCAGTTTCTGCTCTCCTTCTTCTTCCTCTTTTTGTTTTTTCTTTTTCTTCCATTCCTCCAGGCGCCGTGCCACCTCCGTCCTCTCCTCCTCAGTCCTGAAACATGAACGACTTAACTTCAGTCAAACAGTTTGCGTGAGTCAAATTTGAAAAGTTTCTGATCTGAATTTGTTCAGTTATTGATACTCACTGCTGTTGCTCAGCCAAGTTCTTGGCCTTCCTCTCTTTGCTTTGTGCCTCCTCCATTTCCTCCTGAGCTTGGATCCTCGTCTGACGTTCTTTTTCTTTACTGGTTTTCCAGCGTTGAATAGCCTTGGGTGGGACGGAAGAAAACTGTTAAAACTGGACAAAACACATGTAACGCAAAGACTCGTGCATGACACATGCCAAACCCTGAAAAAACAGAAGGTTGTTGAAATTAATTAATTGCAAAGCAGTGCTTAAGTGTCACTTCCGCTAAACTCTAGCGTCACGCTTTGCCACATTTCTTCTCCACCTCTCTCTTTTTGTCCTGCAGGCGAAGCAGCTCCTGATGCCAGTCCTCGTGTTGCTGGACCTCCTCCTCTGTTTTACTCGGCAGGTAGAGTCTGGCCTCTTTCCTGTACGACGACCGCCCACCGTGCTTCATCCAGACCTGTCATTGTTAGAACCAAAAAAGTCGCTCCACTAAAACTGTCAAAAATAATAAAGAAGTAATTAACAAAGCGACTTTGTATTCCTCACTCTTAAGAATGCTTGGTGATCAAACTGGTCCCAGCCTCCATGAGAACCTCCAGTCTTCTGCAGGAAATCCTCCAGAGCTTTGACCTCGGCAGGGAGATCTTTGTGGAAGGGGTTGATCTTAAAGGAAAACAGAAGAAAAAAACAGCCCGTCACCCTTTTTTCTTATTTAAGTGAGTGTCACACAACAAAGAAAAAAACATAATGGTGTAAACTGGTAACCTTCAGCGCAGGTAATTTAGGGTTTGACTTGACAAGAAGACTCCAGTTTTCAAACTTCTTCTCATAAGCAATAACTTCCTTCTTGCACGTCCGCTCCTCCTTTGAATATTTCTCAAAGCTGAGAGAAAGCAAGAAACATAAGGTTTGATTCCTTATAATAATTTCATTTCACTACAAATAATCTCAGTCTATAAATTATGCTTTTTTTATTATTTCTATTTTTTCTACTTCTTTTCTACCCGACATTCTTTTATACTCTTAAACTTGTTTCTCATAAGATGCACACTTTTCTTTTGTGTATACCGAGTGAATGTTGTGGCTTTCATACTAGTTTACCAAAGAAAGTTACATCACATCATTCATAAAAGGTAATATGTTTGTCTTTTTCCCCCCCATTTTCCAGGCTAAAGTGGTGTAAAGATGAATGTTTAGCAAATCTTTTTACCGTAAACACTGCTCCTCCTTTAGAGCATTTATCGACACTTCCACATCTAACATTATTTCTTTAAGTCTTCCAATCACTGGAAATACAAACAAAATTGCAGAAACAATATCAACAAACTGTCCCAAAAGACTCCAATTTTCACATCACTGACACTGCGTATTTTATTCTGAGTTTCAATTATTTAACTTGCAATATTATTTCACATATCAACCCAGAAAGTAGCTCAAATATTGATATTAATAATGACCAAAAAAATCATGTCTATAAGTTTTTCTAGGTAATGGACAACAACAACCGAGTTGCAGGTTCTTTAACATCAAGAAACAAAAATCTCACATTCAGGAGACGGCTTGACATCAGTTAGGTGTTTCTGAAATTTCTTCACACCATTATTGATCTTCACTAGCTGCTTCTGAAGGATCCTCTCTGAAGAAAAGGCATAATTTTATATTTCTGTTAAAGCTGTACAATAACATATTGAAACAGTCTGGTTTCTTTACTGGGTTTCTGCAAGTTTCAAGCACATTGAAGATACTTTACGAACGTCAACATTTAAATTCATGGTCTACACAAATTGCAGCTTCAGACTCAGAACTATTACTGATGAACGGTTTTACCAATCTACTTCTAACCACTTGTACACATACTCTTTACCATGACGAAGGAGCTGATAGAGGATACAATATGGATTTTAAACCTTCAATACAAAATGACATACGGTATGATTTAAAAAATACGAAGATGCAAGATTTTGAATTTCTGCAATTGTTAAAAAGGACTGTGTTAGAAAAAACAGCAAATTAAAGGCAATATTTTAGTGTTAAATCTATTTCTTTACAAGACCAATCCATTTTTTTTCACATTGACTGCACATCCTAGTGTGAAACAGATGCCTATTAATGTAAAAAAAAAAGAAGAAGAAAGAAAATCAGCTATAAATGACTTACTTTGAGCAAACCTATCTTTCTGTAGTATTTTTTCATATTCCTCAAGTTCGTCAATGACATCCGTCCAGGCATTCTTTCTGCACAGAACAGTCAGGGCTCTCTCTTTCTCGAATTTTTCAATCCTGTCAGGCAAAAGGCAAACAACAGATTTTTAAGTCAGTGGTTACATTTTTAGGGCAGAGATAGAGATTTTTCTTGTTTCAAGTCCTTATTAAATGTGTTTCTAAATCACAGGGTATGAATCTATAGCCCTTTAAGAACACAGGCTCCCAAATGACAGACAGCAGTCTAGATTATGGACCTAGCTGAAGTCGTATGTATCCATCCATCCAATATTGAGTCTAGTTAAATCAGTATAATTTATATAGAAAATATTTATATATGTGATGAACTAAATAGTTTTGGGTGGGTGAAATAAACAGTTTTTGAGTGGCACTTCTGTTAGGCTTTAAGTGATTTGATTTATCCTTCATTGTATTACAAAAGTGAAAGCAAATTTCACTCACAACCTCCTGTTCCTCTCTGCCTCCAGCAGAAAGCGACCGACTTCCTCCCTGTTCAACCTTTTCTGCTTTCTTACCGTGTAAGACGCAGTGGTAGTGGGGGCATAAGACTCTTGCTCATCCTAAATTCATTTTAAAACAACAAAAACAAATGAGAGTACGACTATTACAGTGAACGTGGTAAATTTTACTATCCTAAACGTCATGCAGTTTGCCCAAAATACTTTATTAAATAATGACGAACGGCTACAAATGCATTTTTTTTCCCACAAACTACAGTATCTATCGTGCTATTCATACCTTTTCTTACTCACTCACTGACAGTTTAGCAACTTTGTCAATATCTACTAAGCAACACTGTCTGTGCTTTAAAGAAAATAAGAAATGTACCTCGATAAAATCTGCCGTGAACAGTTCATCATCGAATGGAGCGGTTGCTAAGGCGGCCATGTTTGATTGTGAAAGTAAACAAAGCAAACTTTATTGAAAAAAAACCTGTTGTCAGGTAGCGCATTCCTGTTGTTTCTAGCTTTAACCAGCAGAGGACGCTGTGTGCCGTCAACGTCTTTCTCCTGCTCTGAATATTTGAACATAACAGAAATTGTCAGCATTTATGTAATTGTATTGTCGACAGTGTTGACACAAGAATCACTCTTCACTTTCATTTTTTGGGCGTTTCTTGCATATAAAGTCAACCCGCTGCTCTCAGAATGATAACTGTGGTTTGAACTCAGCCCAGGTTCACTTCATAGTTTTCAGCCACTC